CCGGCCTCCGCCCTCGCCCCGGCCTCCTTCCCTCGCCCCGGCCTCCGCTCCCGCCCCACTCCCCGCACAGCGCCCCGCTTTCCGCGCCCGGGCCTGCAAATATTCTCTTGGTGTCTCTCGGACGGCAAAAGGCAGATAGACCGTATACCTGTTACAGCTGATGATTGCCTCTGGCAAATTCGCGAATGAACCGGTTAATGATCATACTATCCAAAATGGAAGGGGTATGCTCGGAGTAAGACGCGGCTTCGAAGAATACTTCGAACCTCCACCAGACTAAGTGAGAAGGCTAGTGTAAGTGAAGTAAGTAACTGTGACGAGGAATAGCCAGACCGCAGACGGGACATTACTAAGGCTGGTGAGAGATAAGGTGGTAGTTTGAGTCCCTCTGTGGCAGTGTATTTTTATTTACATGATGCCGCTTTACCTAACCTCACTGCATACTTCAGTGCTTCGCTAGGCGTTTACGAGTTAAGGTAGCGAGACTCTTCAGCCTTTGCGATTTACATAAAATAACCTTGAGACTATGCAATGCATAATTTCCATTTTTATACGAAAACACTTCTGGAGAACATACGACACTCCTCACACCCTGACAAACAGCGTTCTATAGTCAGCTATGGCTGAAGCCAACATTATGCAGATAATGTTCGAAATTATTCGTTCATAATAACATTTTTAGGATTTGTTCTTAGGATTGAGACTGTTAGGACAAGCGAAGACGTTCTTTGTTGGCATTGCAACAGAAAAGCGATAAAAATAGTTTTTAATCTATAGACTAATGACACAGTTATCTAGACACGAAATCAGGAATTAAAACAGAGTAAACGCTAAAGAACTGTGAACATTACTGAAAACAAAGAAAAAGTCGGTATTCAAGGTGGACTATGGTCCCATGTTCCTATTTCACGAATGTTGCACTATTTCTATCAGTAATTCATTATTTTGGGTTTTGCATCAAACGCGTAAAACTTAAAACACCAAAATTGTTTGTCTAACCGAGATCGCCGTTCAAAAGTAACTCAGTTTTATAGATGCTGTAAACAGCTTCGCCGCACCTTTTGCTATCTAAATCTGGAGCCCACTGCGGATCAGGTAAGCGGAAGAAAATGGAGGCGATGCCTTTGATCAGGAACTTCCCTGCGCTTTGGGTTTTGTCTTTCAGTAAAGCAATTTACAAGACGAGAGGCGATCCGGAGTTTTCGAAGGAGGAAGAAACAAAAGAAATGCAGAGGATCAAATTCTTGAGAACGCTTTACGCAAATTGGGGATATGACGCAGGATGAAGAGCTATCAACAAAATGAAATGTTCTAAAGAGAACAAGTTTACCGACTTTGATGACCACAAAGGAAGCGATGCTTTAAAATTGAATTTCATTTCTGTCTGACTCTCTCTTGTGTCTTCAAAATATACATTTGTGTGTTCTTAAGTATTAATTATGAGTCCTAAAACATCAAACTAGTAATTCTTCCTGCTATATCCAAAAAATAAACATCAAATACAAATATCAACAGTTAATTTAACATGAGCTTACAATTACCAAAATCCAAATTGTATCTTTACAGGCCAGAACACCATTTTCGCAGAAAAAAATACCAAGTCCACAGTACAGTCTTCGTAACCAGTATATGTCCCTAATACAGCACAGCTCCCTATTCTGCAATACTCACAATACACGTCACTGTTCACATAGGCAGTAGACACTTCAATCCGGGCTTGAACTCTTAAGCTCAGTTCCGTCTTCCTGAATTGGATTACCAAGGGACACCCTCGTGCTCCCCCTACTTATGATAGAGCCGATGTCGCGTCAATGACTCGCCTCGAAGACAGTCGTTACGGTGGATATCTCCTCAGGGCAACACAGCCGCGCGCACGCCCTTTTAAACCTCCAACGCATATGTAATACATCCCATTCGTCCCGAAATATACACTATTGTCCTTCGGGTTCATATATTACTTGAAATTAAAAATCTTAATTTTTTTAATTCTGTATAAGTGAGTCTACATCGTTTGCTTCTCTCGAATTTTCGTGAAATATAAGAGAAATAATTTAAACTTTTCGCATACATGCAAAAATAAATTTTTGATTAAAGCATATTGTATACTGAGTAGATAGTTGTTTTATTTGCCAAAAAACAATAAACTAAAAAATAAAATTATGTACTACTCCTTCCTGTTCATTGCAATTAATGATGTTGCATGGGTATTAATCTAAGAATTTCGAACTCAGGGATGTGTGATTATCAACCTTGCCTAAGAAATAAGGTAGATTCGATGAATCAGTGAATTTTTAAATCGAAGTTTGAAACAAAACAGAAATTTGTCATTAAAAAGCTTTTAATTAATTGGAAAATGTATATGAAAATGTAGGTGTTAGAAAATTGATAATATGTGGAATGTATAATACCCTCTCACAAACTGTAGAACACTTTCTAAAATAAATGTTTGCAATTTCGTGCAAATTCATTGCGGAAAAATAGAAAAAATGGCTGAAATGATTAGACTTGTTTTCAATAGCCAATAATTGTGGTGGCAACGTATGCAATTCAACTCGTGATGATGTCACGTAGTAGATTGATTTACTGGGCACGTGGTCTAGTGTGATCATTATCCCCGTTAGTATAGTGCATGTTTTGTGTCGAGGATTAGCTATATTCCTTCCGCGCTGGATGGGATATCAGGCCTCGTCAGCTTGCGGGAGACTTCCCCCTTTACTTTCTCCGTCGGCAGAGCACCCCCCGCCCCAAACGCGTCAAGCTGCAAGCTCCCGACAGGTCTCCCGACGTGTGTGTAAGGGCTCAGGAGAGGACAAGGAAGATGAAGGAAAGATTGCGCGCGGTGGGTGGCCCGTTTGTTAGGGATCTGCTCCGGCATTCACCTGCTGTTGATAGGAGGACAGAAAACAACTGATCAGAGCAGCCGATCAGTGGAATTCTCCTCCAGGCAGCGGCTGTATTGGACCAAGGTATATCGCTCGTGTCTTAAATCACCGTCGAGACTGGCCATCGCTAGGACCTGCCGGGCAGAGACGCTGCAGAGACAACAGCAATGCCGGCTGTAAGCCAACTCAGCCGGTGTTCGTCGTCGGGATGGACTCACCTGCGCCGTGGACGCGACCGTACTCCGCTCGGAACTGCTGCATGAGGCTGCTCACGAACAGGGAGCGCTCGTTGCGGCCGCAGCCTGCAACAGGAAACGCGGAAACACGCTCAGCAGCGACGCTCCCTAGCGGCAAAGCTCCAACTGGAAAAGCCCTCTAAGGAGCCAGATGGAAGCGGCATTATGTATCACTTACGTTTTCTTGAGCTCACATTTCGCTAGGCGCAAAGGAAGTGGGGAGTTCGGTTATTATTTATTATTATATCTGCAGCTCGTTTTACGATGTAAATAGTTTCAATTGTAGGGGAGGGAGAATTCATTGCTATTAAAAGGATTTCTTGCTATTGTTTTTGTTTTTAATTTCCTTTTTAATTTTCAATATAATGCTGGCAAAGGAATACGAGGAGGATTCGAAGCTCGAGAAAAAGTACGTGGAGAATGGAAAAAAGAGTGATCTGGCTGTCGGGGTGACGCCGCGTCGAAGGCTGATGCCGACGTTTCGACCATCCTGTCGTGGTCTTCCTCAGGCTGGTATGCGCGTCATGCTCTTTCTCACGCGCATACCACCCTGAGGAAGACCACGACAGGATGGTCGAAACGTCGGCAACACAGCCTTCGACGCGGCGTCACCCGTGACATCCCAGATCACCACATGACTCTGGCCCGGACCTACGACTTCAATGGAAAAAAGACTCATAAGTCTCAAGGACGCACTTTGCGCAAAGTGGATGACATTTACTGATATATGATATTTAGATCAGTGTTCTTACACATAGTATATGGGCATGGCAATATGTAAAGCATCTACACGCTCTAGTAAAGTGAACTTGCTAGCACACACTGTCACCGTAGTTAGGGAAAATTCCATTTAGCAGCATTTAATTGCGGCAGAGTATTGTTTTCACCATACATTATAACGTTAGAGGCCGCGCATGCGTAAAGGCCCAAAAGTAGAGTTCATATCTTATAAGTTAAAATTTAAGTTTAATCTTTTAGAGAAACGCATATGAAGTTACAATATCATTTTGACAATAAATAGGTCACCAGGTAGCTTTCTTATTTTGACCTTATTGTTTCCATTTTGCGTCTCATGCATACTCTTCCAACCCATATTCTACTCGTGCATAGTAGTCTCGTAAATGAAAGAATTCCGGAAGCGGACACGTGGAAGAATCTCCAGCAATAAGAAAAAAAAACAGTAGGTGCCGAAAATTTAAAGTTATTAAATATAATTGCACAGAACACAGAAATCAGGTCGGCACTCACTATGTTCCGGAATATGGCACGCGTTTAAGAACACGCGCGGTTTTGATAGAAAGTATTTATTAAAATGCTACAGTTCAAATATTCGTACGAGAATTATACATCGCATTATTGAATAGAATCTCTAGTCCCCTCGGCCCACAGCAAGAATTTAAATTACTGTTGCAGAACAGGAATTGTAAATAGGCCTACATAATCTCTGAAATTTATATTTTTATATATTATACTATATAAAAATGACTATCTACTGAACTTTAACAAGACATTTATGAATGTGTTGTAAAATTGCGTAGTGTGGTAAATAAACAATAATTAAATATATAATATGTTTTCCTTACAAAATCTGCTTCAGAATTGATTTTAAGAAGTAAATATGATTCAACAAATGCACGTGTGAATCTTAAAGACTGTCGAAAATAGGATGTGTGTGTTCTTTGTAGATTAACGATGCAGAATCCAAGTGCGCTTACGAACGTGCGGTTAAACATTTTGGTGGTGCGAGGTTTGCTTCAACACTACATGCAATTATTCGCCGGATCAGGCAAAGGAGATATTGTCGCGCCGTGGAGCTGCCAGGCGTACCTTTCTTGTTCTTGCGTCCTCCTGGCGACGAGCGTCTGCGGGTCCCCGATTTCCCTGTGAAGATACGACACATAAGCACATGCCACAACACAAGGCAGCACGACACAGTCAAGCACCCTTCAGCAAACCAACCCTTCAGGACTCTGAGATCCCTGGGCAACCCCACTTCACTGCTAATTATGGAAACCCTTCTAAAGAAACAGGAGGAGAAAGGAGGATTGGGTCTTTTCCCTTATCACGAGTCGACTCCAACGCTGTGAAATCAATGAACGAAAGCAAACGAGGAATGGCTTGAACTACAACATTCTGTTTCAGAGTCTAATGATAATGAAGCAAATTAACTTTTTTTGAAAAAATATTTCGATAAAACAGAGTAAGAAATCACGCGTTTGATAAGGGTAAAGCTGTTTTGTGTTAATGCCTTAGAATAGGGTATCGTTATGAAACTGGATACGCGTAGGGAAGCGTCAACTCTCCTTCAAAAGTATCAGGTTGTAGAGGAATTACTTAAATAAGGGATCACTTTGACAGGTCAGGAAGCAAATGATAGTCATGCAGGGCGATGGCATTGCAAGAGATAATTACGAAGCCATTTACAAATGAGCTACCTACAAACGAAAGCAACGTCAAAATGAGTACATGAACGGAACTTGCAGGTACATTTCCAGCAATGGCCAAGCAGTAGCTGTCAAAGCGCACCCTTTTTACAGTAATCTCTCTCCCTTTACACAAGCGCATTTTGCTCGCGGTCCCGTGGAATCGTTCACAATGTTATCGTGGAAGTGAGTCAATTCCTTCACTTCGTTACAGTAAGGGAGAAGACCCGGAAGAATCATTAGGTCATCGTTAGGTTGGTTATTACGTTTCCTACGTCAAATACTCTGAGAACAAATTTTACCTATAAACAGCTAGCAAAGGTTCAAGCTTTTTCTAAAAGTTGGTTTTCTTCATCACATCCTTCATTGTAATTCTGAGCCAAGCACAAAAGACGTGCTTCTACTCGTGAAAATACGTCTATCTTTAACATGAAAGAATTTCGAACAAAAAAGAGCACGTAGACATGCTAGGCACACAATTAGTAGCTAGTGTTAGTCAACTATATTCCTGGCGTGTTTCAATATTACAAAAGCAATTACATGTAGTAATTTGTGTCCCATGAGTCACATACAAAAGACGAAATATTTAATTGATGACAAATAAATGTAATACTTGATTTAGTAATTTATTGACTTTGTGTATATGACAAATAATAGCTTCACTTTGCTTAGTGGGGGAAACATAAAGATGTTTCTAGCTTGCTTGCAGTGCCTTCGTGGTAACACTCGCAAGCCACGCCTTCATTTGATAGTGTAACGGTTAAACGACAGAAATATATCAAGAGAAGTATGCTTCGCTTATTGTTATTATCCATGAATACCAAAGAGCATACACGAAATCATCGTAAACTCGGTAATGGAACTAAATTATAACAAAATATTTTCATTATATAAAATAACCAATCTTATTATTATACAACTATGTAGTTAAGATAAATCTGTAGTACCGTGTATTTATAAGTATCATCTATTACACACGAAAAGAAATGAATTATTTCTGCAGTGTAAAATGGAAGAAAAAAATATTTAAATCCCTGCAAAATCCGCCTCCTTCCGTCCGCCCGCCCCGCCAGCTTTTCACGCCTGCCCTGCCCGACGCCTCGCCCCGGCCATTCCCATCCTGCCATGCTGAAGCAACTACAGTCGAAGATCTAGCCGTAGAAATAGTACTAGGAGTAATAAAACATTCTGGTGTCAGAAAGACTTGATATTGTGAGGCCCATGTATCGAAAACGTTGATAAATATTGTTCCTGTATGTCAGTTTTCGAAGTTGCAATAAAAAAACGTCGCAAAACTACAATTCTAATGAAACAGATATTTTACTTCATGAAATATATTCTAAAAAATAGATATTTAAATAAGTTCATAATAATAGTTTTGAAAATACGAGAAATTTCGGGCAATTTTTCTTAAAGTCAATTTATACAAAAAAGTCTGGCTCTAAAAATGGCTCTAAATTTGTCTTATTGTTTTCTCGAATAGAACAAAGTATTACAAAGGCTTACAAGATTTCATTTTCGTTAAACTCCCCTCATATTTGAAAATGACAATAGTTACAAATATTGCGAGAACTTTAGTGCTGTCGCAGCACCAGTAGTTTAGCTCTGCTACGTGATGTGTTAGGACAGGCGGACATTTTCTCTTTTTTATCCCGAGTGTTGTTCGTAGATGTCTTTCTCTTGACTTTTCATTCCTCTTACGAACTTATTTTCCTCGCGTGTAACTATCATATAAAGCCCTCGGTAGCTCGTTGGTTGGCGCGCTCACTTTCCACGGCACAACCTTGGGTTCGTTTCCCGAGCTGGGGGCAAAATTATGACTGTGCGATTTTCTTACAAATGCCTCAGTACCTATTGCTGTGTGACGAAGAGAAATTCCACCCTAAGGTTAAGAAGACCAGTTCATACGACCAACGGATGTCTAATCACCCCTTTTCCCATGGCCGAGTGCCTGGGTCACTGATAAGCCAGAGGATAAGACAGGACGGCATCGGATACTCACCCCTGCGCCCGCAGCTGGGCATCTTGTTGCGCTTGGAGGTGTTGGGCACGGGCCGGCCCTGCGGCGTGACGCACCAGCAGTAGCCCGTCTCGTTGTGGCACTGCACGGGCGCGTAGCTGCCGTCGTCCAAGCAGCGGGGCTCGAACAGCTGCAGCTGCGGCGGGCGCGGGATGAACTGCGCGTGGCGCAGGTCCGTCCAGCAGGGCTGCGCGTCTGCCACACGCGCGGGCGCGATTCACTACGCAGCCTCCGCACTCCTCGGGGATGGGCGAGCGCTTGTCGATTGTGCGCAGTAATCAATGAAAACCGTGCCAAGTGCCAAAAATGGGATTCCGAGGTAATTAAGAAAAAACTGTTTCAAAAGCTCGCGGGACTTGACTGTTGCGCAGTCTAAGGGCGACAATTTCAACTTCTAAGAATGAGAATTTCAGAAAGCCCATTTTACCCCACATTGCGCTTGACACCCGGCTTTTCAGCACAAAAAGCGAATTTTCACATCTTGGCACTTAGCTCGGGTTTCATTTATGCTCTACAATTAACATTGAACGCGTTTAAACATCAATGACAACGCTGTCGTGCAATAAATGAAGGCCACTGCCAGTGTAAAGGCAACCTTAGCACAATTGCATGCATGTAAGCAGCGCGGAAGACTGGCTAGGGGTTCTCTCTGGCACCGATATGTCAAAGCTGTAGATTGCCGACGTATGCGACGTACTGTAATCCCAGTAAGAAAGTAAAACACATGTAGTACTCAATTCCACCACTAAGCAGTTCTTTTTCTCAATAAATCATCCGGCTTTGGAGTGAAACTATCATTATTGTGGTAGACTGATTGATTATTTTTTCCAGGCTCGTTAGCGGTTAAGTGGGCGTTAGCCACGTGGGTAAAATGTATGTTATAAGCCGACAGATGGAGCGGTTTGGTTGGAACTTATATAGGCGAGCGATTTCTTTGCCGCATCTCCTGTCGCTTCTTACTTTTGTATTTGCGCGTAATTAACCCACATTTTATTGCTTGATTGATGTTTCCGGCACGTTAATAGCTACAGTCATTAGTGCGTGTGTGCAATGAATGTTTAATTAAGAGAGATAGCAGTGTTTCTTCTCAATACGCTGGTGAGATTCGGGGATATTTCCCGATAATACAACCGATCTAAGCAGCTCCTCCAGATTGCTAGAATCTTCCCCCGAGCTAGAATCCTCCTCCAGATTGCAGATGAACTCTAACTAGGTATATCATATCTCATGTCAAAAATCCGCCTTCATCATCAGTACTCGGACCCTACGATCTCTCTCCCAGTCACTACAGAGTCAGTGAAAACGAGCTTAACTCAGTCGGTGCAATTTTTTAACATTTTAAAATTTTCCCTCGCGGTTTAGCTCATAGGTCAGCGCACTCACTTTCCATGACACGACCGCGGGTTCGATTCCGAGTCGGGGATTATAGTGTACGTTTTCCTTGCAATTTCCAAGTATATGTAACTGGGTGTCGAAGAAAAAAATCACTTCTCAGGTTGAGACCAGAATACTACGTAGGGATGTCTTTATGCTAACCACATGTACCCCTTGACTCCGAGGTCGGGACGCTGCTAGTAGGCCCTGACCCATTCGTAGGCTGTCGCGCCAAGATCAAATAGACAGACAGAAGTCTAGAAAGTACTTCAAGATTGATACGACGTCGCAATAACCTCTTGTTTAACTTTCTTGCGGACTTATAATGACCAGTCGAGAGAATCTCGAAACCCTTACCAAAATAATTACATAACATAACATGTTATGTGCACATGCCATGTACATTGTCCATGACATAATTAGTAGCTGATAGTCCATGTTCATAACCAATTTGCTTCTCAGCATCCCCCACCCTTTGAACTTAGATATATCGTGAAATATTTGCTGGCTACAAAAGCGTTTCATCGCTAACTCTAGCGGAACCCCGCATTGAAGCCGGTTTAGAGTAGTTTTTAATTCAAAATTGTTATTATTCAAATAATTTCGATTGACGTTTAATGGCTGATACGGCTCTAGAGCCATACTGTTGTCTCTACGGCAGCTCTCGCGGGAAGGACTTCGGTGGCTGATTTTCGACACTAGCAAAATAGTTAGGTCGAATTCACCCAAAATACATTGCTGGGAATGCCAGAGCAGTACCCTAACTAATATGTTACGGACCGCGCCGCTATCATTTCTGTCGCACAAGAACTTGCTTTAGCTGAGTGATGAAAGCAGTAAGGAAGCGCGGGATATCAAAACATACCCTCCTCTAATTGGTATTACTCAACAACTAATCATATTTTGTTTTTAAAAATGCATGACATTATTTGTAGTTCTAAAATTAGGGGATAAAAAAAGAAAGATATCTCTCGCTTAAATAATGGCGACGTAGAAGAGGTTTAAACAGAAAGGTTTCATTGAAAAAAATATTTGCAGCCATTTTAACACAAAATTTAAAAATATCACAGGGACTTTATGCAAAAGTCTGAATTTTTTTAACAATACCACAGAGGGCACATGTGGATCTTATTCCTTCAAGTTTCAGCTCAAAAGTCTCTAATCCGACAGTTATGCGCGACCTGTGCACATCCTTCGCAGTCATCAATTCATTCATCCACCCAGACGCCCCGATTTTCGGGTACAAAATTATCGAGATGTCTCACAGAAGACACACGAATCTCGGGTGTCTCCTCGCCCCCAGCAACCACCTTTGAAGCACACTATTTGAATTTAATCCTGGCGTATGATACAGCTCGAGATCGAATTGCCGATAATTCGTGACCGTATTGTTGAGACGATTCCAATACTCTCCGCCTCTTCCTTCCCATTGGTCAATGTCGCAGCCCACACACGACCCGCCTGGCGGCGCTGCGGTTTGTGCAGCTGGCCGCCAGGCGCCGCGTCTGCCCCCGCCTGCGTAGACGGCGATGTTGGCCGACGCCAATGCGGCGCCGCTGTCGCAATCCGATCGCTTCAGACGTCCAACCAAGAAGGATCCTTGTCCGATGGTGCGTAATAATTAAAATATTTCCACTTCATGCTGTGTTAACGACTTCCCTTATTTTGTATTGAAGGTAATTTGAAGTTATATTTATGTCCAGAAGCAAAATAAGGGCAGCAATTGTTCTTGCAATCAGCATTTGCTCAAAGATCAGTGAAACTGGACGAAAACCTGTTGGAGATGGGGTCATTGACCCAGAAGCTGAAGTACAATACTTGTTACAGGTTCTTTAGAATTATTAAATCCCAATGATACATAATACACTAAATGTCGTTTTTAAAATTAATATTATTTTCCTTTTGGATGCTCGGTATAGTATCCAATTGTATAGAAACAGTTGTGCAGCAGAAAAGATTTTACTTAAGGCTTCAACTTTTGCATCGAATTTAATCGTTTAGTGTCATATGGCAAGATGTTGTAAAATAATGTACATGTATTATATGTGAAGTTTTGTAATGAGCTGTAGATACTGTCACCTTATGAGTATGATTTGTCGAGTGTTGTAGTTATAGACAACGGCATTTGATGAAAATATATTCCCGCCCTCAAGTAAGTCATTTTTGACAAAAATCACTGATTCATGTATGAAGAGCCAAGGTAATGGTAAAATACCTAGATTAATAAAGAGAGGCTTACAAGAATCTCGTGGATGGGATTTGATTATTATTCGTACAATTCTTATTTGTATGGGAGTTATAACATGTATTTTCCTAGAATATTATGCCATACCTCAGGCAGCAATGAATATTCACGAAATATACACAACGAGCAGTATGGAGGCTGACTCAATTTGAAAACATTCTGAAAGCGTAGAATAAAGTACTTAACTTAGTGTTCCATTCATTTAAATGGACGTAACATTTAAGGTTTGACTGAATTGAAAGACCTAACAACGTAGTTACCTTATCCGTCAATGTCACACCATTCATTTTGAGTGGAGTGCAGAGCTGTTTATTTGAAATGGAAAACTGCATTGAAACAGTTTTCTTTGCATTTACTATTAATTTGTTATTACGGAACCAATTTGAAATAACTGATATTGTACTATTTACAGTTTCTTTATGGCAAGGAATATTCGTATCATCCACAAAGAGAACAGTTCTTCCGTTTCCAATCGTCAAAAGAAAGCAGGAAGAAAAGAAATATTTAACTTAACAGCTTAACAGCATTACTGGAAATGTTCACACGCGCGCTTTACCGGGCTGTAACGAATCAGGAGCCGTTGGAAATTGGGATTCCGTTATGAATCTACGATTTCTTTTCCTTTTATGTCAATGATGCACCTAGTAATATAAATTTACTTTAATTTTTGAAGTTAAAGAAAGCCAGTACATATTCTTGAAACTCTGTTAATCTTACTAGTTTACTTTTCGATTCAAGACAACAAAATCAGAGTTGAGATATCAAAGGAAAAATGGTACATAGAATATTTGTATTACATGCTCACGTCCGTCGTTTATGCAATAAATACATTTAAAACAAATACAGGCGCTTTTTATTCTGACGCATTTTCTAACTCCTTCCTCCTTAAAAATCAAAATTGATACTACGAAAATTCTCAATAGAGACGGCATAGCCTTCTGCGCATACACAGATGAGCAAAACCGATGCGCAACTCGAACTGTGCATGCGCAGAAGGTTGATATTGCTGTGGATTGCTGCACGCTCCACTGTGCTTCAAGATCTACAAAGGACTTTGCAGCAATCTCAGGCCTCTGCGCATGCGCAAGTCGAGTTGCGCATTCGCAGATGTTCAAAAGTAGTATAGAGTGGTCGAGAAATTTCTGTCGATTGTTCTATGCTCTGCTGTGCGGAAAATCCCTAATGCTGCAAAGGACATTTCACTCCTACGGCCCCGCTTGCTGCTAAGCCAGAAACTCTATTCTTTCGTTCGTGTAGTGCATCGGGTTCATTTGAATCGGAGCGGCCTCGCTGCGTAAGGGCTTCTAAACCACAGAGTGAGCTGTGAAATTTCCAGCGACTATTGCAGCTGTAGTCTTCACGCACCCCAAGTGTGTGTAATACGTTGTATAAATATATTTTCATTTGAAAACAAAATGTCCCCGAAATGACTTGATACCAATGAACCTCACAATTTTAAATAAATGAATAAAATGATTAAAATAAACATTTACTTTGTCAATAAAATATATCTATTTAATAATAAATATTCAGCGAGTGTAAAAGTTTCTTCTTGGTCACTACATATACAAGGTAG